AGAGAGGGGGGCTTCTGCCTTTCACCCCAGCAAGATCAGTGTCAGGGCAGAATTAAGTTGGAGGAGGGGACACACAGGCAGGACAGGATGCCATCCAGAGGGACGTGGGCAGGCTTGAGAGGTGGCCTGTGCAAACCTCATGAAGTTTGAGAGGTGCCAGCAAGTGGGTCAGGGCAAGCCCAAGCACAAATACAGGCTGGGTGCAGAATGGACTGAGAGCAGCCCTGTGGAGAAAGACTTGGGGTGCTGGTGGAAGAGAGCCAGCCATGTGCACTCACAGCCCAGAATGTCAGTTCCAACCTGGGCTGTATCCAAAGCACTGTGGCCATCAGGGCAAGGGAGGGGATTCTGCCCCTGTGCTCTGGTGAGACTTCACCTGTTCTGCCGCATCCAGCCCTGGGGTCCCCAATTGTAAAAGCACATGGACCTGTTGGACTGATCCCAAAGGAGGCCACAAAGATCCCCAGGGGGCTGCAGCAGCTCTCCTCTGCTGACAAGCTGAGAGAGTTGGGCTTGTTCAGCCTGGAGAAAGTTCCAGTGAGACCTTGTAAGAGTCTTCCAGTTCCTAAAGGGACCCTACAGAAAAGCTGGAGAGGGACTTCTTGCAGTGGCAGGGAGTGATAGGACAAGGGGGAATGGCCTTAAACTGACAGAGGATAGGTCTAGATTGGATATTAGGAAGAAAAATCTTTCATGTGAGGGTGGTAAGGCCCAGAGAAGTTGCCCCATCTTTGGAAGTGTTCAAGGCCAGATCTGATGAGGCTTTGAGTAACCTGGTCTAATGGAAGGCCATGGGAGGGTGGGAGGGTGGGCATTGGAACTAGATGATCTTTAAGGTCCCTTTCAATACAAGCCATGATCTGTCTGAGGCCTATACTAGTTTTCTATGGAGGTCTATACTAATTTTCTATTGAAATTTTATGCCTATCTGAAATAATACAAATATTTCAATCTGCAGAATTTTCTTTTACTCATTCTGTCCCTCTTGCCTGTGCTGAAAGCTACTATTCATGAGCAAAACAGGGAAGAGGGAAATATGGGTCACACAGGAAACAATTTCTAAAGCAAATCAGGACAAATCTCTGTACCACCATCACCACACACATTCTCACAGAGACTAAGTTCTATGCAAGTTCTCCAGGCTCTGTTTAAGGCTTCTGAGCAGTCAGGAGCTATGGGAAGGGTTGGAGCATTTGTTTCAATTTGAACTACTCCAGCAGCAATTTCAAGAGCACTGGACAAGCTAGGTTTGAAAACATGCCTCAGAAAGGGAGGTACCACATCCTCGTTGCCTCTCCTTTCTCAGATGCCGGCCAGAAACCCATGGTCAGCCACGACCACAGTCATCAGATGCTTCTTTTCCACAGTATTCTGGCTGTGGACTGGCCCACTTCATGGTCTGCTTTCACAGCCTCACTCCATTTTATTTTTAAGTAATAGGGAAAACATAATCCAGTCATAAATTACTGCCCAAAAATCACTTCTGTGCTGAAATTTGGCTCAAATTTCCATGTAGGAAGTTCAAAATGTTACCATAATTCATTGTTCAAAGTTAAATGGTCTTAATCTGATCCTTTTAAGTACTTCTGATTACAAATCAGTATTAGTCAAGTTTTCTTGGTTTTGAAAGCTTTGCTAATGTAGATGCTAATTGTCATGGAATTTTGCAAGCCACAGATATACTTCTCATGGGTTTTCAGATGTCTATTAAGCTTCTCTATCACTCTCTTTAGTCCTTGAAGATATGCCAAAACACAATGTTAAATTATGTAGTTTCCCAATTGCATCCTGCCATATGTTGAATGATGTGCCTTTTAGAATTCTGTACAGAGCAAGTCATAGGAAGTTAAGTATTTCCATGCTGCAGAATGAGGAATTTTTGTTTGTACCCTTCTATTTCCTTACCGATTTCAAAATACCCATGAGATGCCAAAAATCACCTTTTTTTTTTTCTTTTTTTTCTTCCAAAAGTCAGACTGAATAGGAAATTAGAAATCTCCACTTCCAAGACAGAATTGCTCCTAATTACAAATCCCCTAGAAGGTTGTGCTTAATGGCAAAAACCACCACTCACCTTTCAGAAAGGTGCTCAACAGGTGATCTCTACATTGTCCTTAATCTTAACTTTCCTCATTTCCCCTTCCCTCCCTGGCTTCGCCTCAATTTATTTTAGCATTATCAGGTCTAATTCCACTCTTGGTTGATTTCAAAAGAAGAGAATAAATAAGAGTTATTTCTTCAATAAATCAAAGTTATTTCAAACAGTGTGTTGGGCCATGTCAACTGCGAACAAAATCCTGGGGATTCACGCAGTTCCACAACTCTTGAAGGACATGCTTTGGAGTAACCCAGGATAATGTAGCAAAGGCTAGTGCAGAGGGTCACAATATTCCTAGAGCATTCTGAAGTGTTTTACAGAGTGGCCATTCAGTAGGTTGGAGATCATAGAACTCAGTTAAATCCTAAGGAGTGAAGCCCTACGATGCCTGCTGCTGCGTACAACCCTTGGAAAAGGAGCAACTTAATGCTACCACCTTGACTTTACCACTCTTACCATGTTCAAGTCAAAAAGCAGGACTAGAGGTCCACCTTAAAAATCAGTTACTCGCTGAATGTTCATGGACAAAAAAAACCTAACAAAAACCCCACACCCAAAACTTTCACAGTATCTTAAATCATGTCTGTTTGCATGTCTCTTCCGTTACTTTCCTCTGAACATCCTACCACACAACCCTCCCACCATTTCATCCTTCTCACTTACATCACTGTAATTACAGCCCTGGCTGATCTCCTTTGTGCTGATCTTGAGATTCTTTCTTTGGTCTTGCCACCTACTCATTTCTGATTCTTCTCAGATAACAGAATGCTTGTCTCCTTCCCAGACCTCCCACCCTCCTTCTCCCTCTTCCTTACACCATCCATGCAAGTAGGAAAGCTATTCCCAAACTTATTATCTCCATCCAGTAAAGACTACAACAGCTCTGCTGTGGGCCTGGTAAGATATTATGCTTGTGGGCAAAACATTCTTTGGATTAGGCTTGCAGAGAGCAAGAGTTTTAACCTTCAGAAGTTTACTTTGAAGTCTGGCTGGTTCAGGTTCCCTAAATCGTTCAGTGCATCTGCTTCCAGCAAGAGCACATCTGTACATCTCCAGTGCAGATCATTCACTCAGCATGAAGCACTTAGTGAGGCTGCCTTCACGTGCATATATGGAGTCAACAGCACACTTCCCCTTCCCTGAAGAACATACACTGTTCTCAGACTGTGTTACAAAAGCCTGAAGACAGACAGGTATTGCCAACAGTTTCCACACTGTAAGAAGCCTAAGAGGACACAGGAAGGCAGGAGTGTAAAGGTCAAAGGGAGAGAAAACCCCCACACTTAGAACTTTCAACCTCTAATACCAAAAATGCAGAGAGATTCCAACAAAAGTAGTTCAGCATAGGCAAGACTGTAAGGCATCCAAGAAACCAAATATTGCCTGGTTTTCAGCTGTCACTTAAACCTTAGTTGTATTCCAATCTCCATCAAGTGCTCTGCATCAATTCAGATAAAATCATGGGTATTTTGCTTACTGGTACTGTGTTAAGACCAAAGTGAAAAATATTCACAAGTCATGGACCTGGGCAACTAACCTGAAATACCAATTATAAAACTCAAGGCTAAAGCACTTTATTTTCAGTAGGTATAATGCTCTAAGTAATGATATTTTACAGCTACCTTTGCTGTAGAGGCTACAGAACCCCAGCACTGCAATCCTCATCTCAAATCAGTATAACTCACACATACTGCAAAAGGCAAAGTTGCCTGCTTGCCTGAAAAACTCTGCTTATTAGGAAGAAAAAAAGAGCACACATTTTATCTTTTCACTTCAGCTTTTAAAAAAAACAACAAACAAACCACCAAAGTCTTGTCTTAACCAAGTTTAGACTAACCAGCATAATGGCATAACTTCAGAAGAGGCTTGAAGCATGCTGACTGACACACTGCACACAGGAAACTGAAGTTGGCTTTCTCGGGCTGAAAAGTCCAAGCAGAGCAGAGGGCCAGCAGGAGCCTGCCTTGCTGACTGCTCTTGAGTGCCACAGGGAACCTGTGGCCAAACAAGGCAGAGGAAGAGAGGACAGAGGCCATTTCTGATACAGTGTGTAGGTGATTTTGAAAAGTTGTATTTTTTTTTTTTTTTTATTTTTTTATCATTCCTGTAATACTTGGTGATCTCCCAAGTGCAATCTGGGAGATTAATTAGACAGTTTAGAAGCAGCTATTATTTCAAAATAATGCCATTCCTACTGGAAAACACATCACACTGAGAGAAAGAGGACTGCCTTCCGACACAGACACTGAGAATTAGAATCTCACTGTGGTACTGTGCGCACTCACAAGCTGACTAGATGGTGTTATTGCACATGTGTAATCACTAATCATTCCACCCTCAGTGCAGGTAATATGATATAAAGAAAACACATGCTGGAAGTACAACAACCACAAAAAACCCCAACCTGCACCACACATGAAATACCACTGTACAGCTGTGGGAGAAATTCTTTAAACAACTGAAACACAGTCCCATTTTCTTAGCAGGTGTTTTGTTAGTATACAGGTGAATAAATTGTTTTTAAAAGGTGTACCCAGCCAGCCAGAATCTTGTTGTTGTCAGCACATAAAATGTACTCCATAGCCAGAGTCTACCTTGCTCTTATGAGCTGTGACAGTCTAGGAGGGCTTGCACTGCTTAATAAATCTATCCCTGGTTCACAGGCAGACTTGCAGTGAGTCAGTGAGGTGTGGTCAATTTGAAAATATTATGGTTAAGCAGTGAAATGGTGAACACCTAATAGATAGCCGGTATAAAAACCATCAGTAATCAAAGTAACATTAGCTTTGGGATATGATAGTTCTGCAATTTTTGCTAAATTCATATTATTGCATAAAATTTATAAGAAGGCTTATTTTACAATTCAGTTTTATCAGCAGGAAAGCTTTAGAGAAGTTCTTACCATGCTTCAGATGTAGGCAGCTGTCATTCTGGGGCCTGTACCTGCAGAAGATTGTTTTCCTTTAACAAATTTCTGTTACAGAGTTTTTGCACATTCCAAGTAAGTTTGTTTGCTACAGTGTTACATGGAATTTTTTTGTGTGTGTGTTTTTTGGTTTTGTTGTTTGGGTTTTTTTATGGTTCTTATACCAGCCATTTTTTGTTGGGGAAAACAGGGTGTTTCTTCCTACATATTTTAAAGGCAAAGAGGAGACCTCACTGATGATTTTAGCCAACCTACTAGGCAGCCGTTAGTGTACAGAGAAATATAAAATACAGTGAGAAAAAAATACAGTTACTACAAAAGGTCTGTGTAAAGTTTCCGGTGTCCAAAAATACCACACAGTATTTGAGACATAGTTAAGTCTAAAGATGATACAACACTGATTGAGGAGAAAAGCAAAGGTAAAACACGACAATGATTGCAGCAATGCGTAAGTTCAGCCAAAGATGATGATGCCGTCAGGACTGCTGCTCAGAAAGGTGTAAGGGGATGGAGGCACCGGTTGTGTGCATGTTCACAAGCTTACATTCCAAGAGAAATATCTTAAAACATCCATCAGAAGCAAGTGTTAGATAAAAGCTCATAAAAATTAAATAGCGCAAGCCCTGGTTTCTAAAATACACCTGAGGTGAACGGCAAGTAAGAGGTGGTCATGGCCTACCTGATGCTGATTCCTGCAACTTTTCTCTCTTCCTCTTCTTTTTCTTCCCCTGAAAAATAGGAAATTTTATCATACCATTATATGCATAGAACTTTTTTTTTGTCACTTACCTCACAGCAAAAGTCATCTAGACACTGAAAATATTAGGAAAAAACCCAATTATTTTCAGGGTAGCTTTTCCATCCCGCTTTTAACTAGTTCAATGGTAACAAAGTTTGCTCTGAGCATCTATGGAGAAATTTGCACATCAGCAATACATATATTTATATCCACATGGAACTACAATTTCAGGCAGTTTTTCAACTAACACTGGCAGCCGCAAGCACCTAAAAGACTTCTCATGCTCAATAATCTGCTGACAACGTATGTTGATATCATAATTGATGGCTCTCACAAGAACTCTTCACACATTCAGATACTTACACTGTCATACATAGTAGGAGCAGACAGGGTGTTGAAAGTACCTAGGACAACCACGACTTGTCTCCAGGGTGCAAACCAGCCAACTAAAACTGTTCTGATAATGCTCGTACCCGAACAAAAGCCAAGTCTGGTGTGGCTGTGCCTGGAGAGCGCGCTCTGCAATACCCAAACAGCAGAGACTCTATAGCACAGCACCCTTAACATGGCTGAAGTGCAGAACATAAATGAATGCCTGGCAGCTGTCTTTCCCAGAGACCACACAGGCCACAGAGTGCCAACCTACACACTCGGCCTTCTCCTGCACCCCCATCCATGGAAATGGCCACACCAGAAACAAAAGGTCAGCTTAGACCCACAATTTTAAACCTCAATCATCTTGCATCACCCTAACCACCACTGATACTCCTCCATACGTCTTGTCTTTATTGCCCTGTATAGTCAGTGAAAGCTTTTTGTGTGTGTTTTAAGAAAAAAATCATATCCATTTATATTTTAAAAAAGCCTCCAGACAAGCTGGATAAGCAACAACAGATGAGCTCTGAGAAAGGCTGGTGCAGTTGCTGAGCAGGGCTCAGTGGTGAGCAGGGCTGCAGGCTGCTTGCCAATCCTCTGGCCCCCCACTCTCATGGCTGGCAGCTGCATGTCCCAGCCCAGAGCATGCCACACACACAGTGGTTCAGAGCGGAAAGGCTGAGGTGCTGGGACACATCTTTCCATGAGCTAGCTCTGCAAGGTGCTGGGATGGGCAGCAAGTGATGTGAGAAACCACCTCAAATCCCTACAGTGCTCACAGATTGATAGACAGCAAGGGAGGACTCCAAATACAGGCTGTGGTGAAGCTCCAGCGCATGAACTTAAGTAGCCTCCACTCTGCTCTGACAGTCTGGGCCTGCTTGACTCTCAAGCTCCTATCTTTATTTATCCCAAGGTTGGCAACAGGGTTGGCCAACGCCTTGTGAGCAAGATTCTGAAGTCAGGACCAAGACTCAAAGTTAGAAAACACGTTTCAAGGGCTCTGGAGAACTCACAGCAATATACTTTATCACTTCAGCACCAAGGCAGCATGTTTTTAGAGAGGAAAGTACATTAGTGAAGATGTTAACATGGAAAAGTCATGTGAGGAAAATTTGTTCTATTTTCTATGTCTGAAAGCTGATCTGAGATCTACCTATGAGATAAACACAAGTGAAGGAATAGAAGACTGGGCTGAAAACTAGTTGTCAGCATTCCCAGGCAAGATAGCTTCTGACAACTGCAGCACACACAGACACCTTCACGTTGTGAAAACATTGTGCTTCTCATGTCTATCACACAATTTTGCATGACTGCTTTGGGTATCAGTAATAAATAAAAACATATGAAAAAGGTAGTTTTAACAGTTGAATAACAATGTTTAACATTTTCTTTGAATTCCTAAAACCCTGAATAACCAGGCAAACCAAAATAGAAGAACTAAAACCAAACAGTATGTAATTTTTACTTGTACTGTTTTGTGAAAAAAAGAACCACCCCTAAGTCACTCCTAACCCTCAAAATACTGGAGTAGTACTTGTGCTAAATTAATACAATTTCACTTTTTGGAAAAAACCAAGATAATGTGTATCTGAAAAGGTTTCAGTGATAAACTACGCTCTCCTATGATCACCATCTGACCGCCACTGCAGAACGTGTGCATTCCTGGAGAGGCAGAGGGGAGGGCTGCAAGAGGAAGTTAGCAGAGTTCTTCATTGTAACATACAGGACTGGAGTATGTCAGAGCTATACTTCCACACAGGATGTAGGCTGGAAGCACATCAAAGAGATAACTCATACGTGCCACCTCACACACTCCAAATGTCTGTCAAGGCATTTAAGAAACCGCAGGTCTGCTGCTTGTGCTGTGTGGCATAGGCTGGGGCAGCACACAGGGTTCTCAAAGCCAACATGACCAAACGTCACAGGACCATCTCGATGTCCTTACTGGACATCTTTTGTCCAGTAAGAATGAGCTGACAAGACTCCAAAGTGGCGTGATTTTCCACCAAGTAAATTTGAGACAAGCAAAACCCCCTCGCTTCCAGGGAATCTTTCCCTAAGACCCTGTTTGTTCCCAGCTATACTTCAAGACAGCTCTGTTGACATGGTCTGGCTACTGGAAATAAACCCCATCTGTGTAGTGTTGGGATAGTTTATTTGCTGTATAAAACAGACAGAAAGAAGCTGCTAGGGCTTTCAGTTGTGTCTGTGCTTACAAAACTGGGCATGCATGTCAGCAAGACATGGGTATTTCCTTCAGAGATAATCACATAGTTTCTGTGTCAATGTATTCAGCGCCAGTTTCTACAGTTTCTGTTAACACTGTATTTAGGGATCTCAATCCTTAATTTCTGAAGACATCACTGAAGTAGAGAAAAACTAGTGTCCACCTAATGCAGAAGGAAAATTGAGCCAGATATGGCATGTACATTTCCTATCCCCATAGATGGTGTCACATCTAATGGAGGGACAGAATGGAACTCAGATCTTGGGTTAGGATCAGTCTCTCAGGACTGCAGCTTCTGAGCTTGATATCATCACATTTAGCTACACTGACAGCTTGTTGTAGGCACCAGAGTGTAACCATGCAGTGCAGGCTATTTAATAGTTAACTGTAAAACAAGAGCAACTGTTGGGAAAACTCCTTAACATATACATTTATCTATGTATAACAGCAGGCTTTACCATGAGGGTTACTTATACAAGATTTGCACAGATGGACCATTCTGATTTCAGCTAAAGTTCAGACTGCATTGTGACCCCATGGCTTACAGTTCTCTTGAAAACAAGACATCCTTTTTTCTCAGGTCTAAGAAAGATTTCTGGATAAAAAGTGATCAAATAGAAAATGATGGAAAATTCACAGCTGTACAGTACAACATGAGCTTTCAGACAGTATTGGCCATTGTCTTAAGAAAAAAAATTTTCATGTTATTTTTTTTGCCTCAAAATCAGTCAATTTCATAAGAAGCATCTCAACAACAACAACAACAAAATCCCAAGCTTTCTGGGTGCTTCAAGTGAAAACAAATATAAGGTTTATGTTATACGTATGTTCACCATCCCTTCATCCAGAATTTTCCACAAGTTTTAGAGAAAAAGAAGAAACAATAATAACTTTAGAAGTTACAAAAAGAAAATTAATTTTTAAAAAGAGTCTTCAAGTGAGTGACTTACATAGTTGTCTCTTGCAGACCAGCCTGGATAAAGCTGCATGTGTAGCTGCCTTTCTTTACGAGCTAGTTCATAATATTTTGCTTGTTCTTCACGGGAGAGAGCATGCCACTGCAAACAAAATAAACACACCTTTAGACTAGGAACTAACTTATACCTAGGCAACAGATGACTTGAGCAAGTGTTTTAGTGACTTTGATTCAGTCCTTCCCCACTGCAAAAGTGGAATTCATTAGCAATTACAAGCACCTGTGTTTATTAACCGACTTTCAGGCATTTGTCAGCTCTGCAAATGCCAAGTGCCTTGAGCAAGACAAAAATTATTTATGGAAACAGGGCTCACCAAATAATCTGCTCACAGAATCATGCTCTCCCAGCACTACTTGAAAAAAACCAACAAACAAACAAAAGCAAACCCCAACAAAAAACAGCCTTTATCTCCTGACAGAACTGAGGGGGTTTGTGCTGCAAAAAGGGCAGCAATCTCCCCTTGGCAGAAGGGCCTGCTGTCTTGGTTTCAAGCAGCAACTAGACACAAGTTTTCAATGCTGACACAGAAGGCTTTCTGTGCACCAGAACCCCTATTCCAAAATCAGCTTCTAAGTATTCAACTTTAAGGTACCTGCTTTCTGACTGAAAAAGGAAATGGCAACTGCAAATAAAGAAATCACAGAACTACAGTCTTACAAGTTACATGAGCTGACCTTTGTAGCCAAGCAGGAATAAATTTCCCAGTTTCATGTACTTAAAAAGAAAAACATCCCCCTCCCCCCTGCAAAAAAAAAAAAAAAAAAGCAAACAAAAAACTACATTAGTATCTAGTAATTTTGTTCTTGCTTAAACACCTATCACAAACCTAAACTAGAAAGAGTAAAGGCCTTTTATTTACAATTTTGTTCCAATGCTGCAGCATTAGATGCATCTTCTTGTTTTACAACATCCATAGTGGAGTAAGGGAAGAAGTTATTAAAAAAATCCAAAAACCAGACAAACAATCATTAAGAAATCATTGAGACAGTCATACAAGACTAACATACAGAACTAAGATTTCAGATCAGATCACATTTGTATGATTTAATATGTTGTTTGGTTACGCATCAGAGGATGTGAGCTAAAGCTCTTGTCTGCCTTGACTTGGTGAGTTGGACGTGTTACTGAGAGCACAGCAATTCAGCCTGTCTGCAACTCTCAAACTTCACATGCACATTCAAAAACTGGAAGGTAGTGAACACACTGCTGTGGCATCAGGGAACCCAGCAATGTGCAAAGTTTCAGCCCCTGAGAACAGAGACAGTTCCTCCTCTGGTACAGCACAGGATATAAATAGTGACCAGGAGGACTGAACTCAAAACACCTGACAATAATTAATGTCCAAACAATTGCATTGGATAACTCATGCTTCATTTGCACCATAGGAAAAGTGGAATTTGAGATATTTTCATGGAGAACAGTAACTTGAAAAGAGGAGTCCAAGCTGCAGAAAAAGCATGCAAAGGAGCCCTGAGGCTGCTTCCTTACCAAAACAGAGATAAGCTACTGCCCTTGTTCAGGCCAAGAAAACAAGGTTGACACACTAACTAGGATCAATCATCTAGGATTGCCATCATCTGTAAGGGTAGTTCACAGAATACTGTGAGCTGAAAGGGACTCTCAAGGATCATCAAGCCCAACTCTTGAGCAAATGGCCCATACATGATCCCAGAGACTTGCACGAAAACGTGGAAGAGGCAAGTACCAAGACAGTCCTTTAAGGGGAGGTAACAAGATCTACAGAAGGCAGCAGACTGCATGAGCTGGGACAAGTGCTGGTAGAATTCTGCTCTGTTTGGAGGGGGAAGTCTTCCAACTGTACATTGGAAGCACTTAAAGGAGCACTTTAAGGTCGTGTACTGATTTCCCACTTAAAAGTACAGGGTTTTCAGAGCATCACAGTGCCTCTCAATACTGGTCAGTGATCAAAATGAGGTGGGAATTAGAGTAATCCCTGCTCAAACTCAGATTGATACAAAAGTCACCTCTTTTCTCATTACTGGGAGTCAATTACAAAATGGGCATTTACCCCTGCTGTCTTTCCTTGGAAGAATAACACTGGCAGAGAACACAAAGGCTGTACTGTGAACTGGCCTGCATAGGTTTTTTTCTGAGCGTGGAAAGTACAAAACATGACTACAGTGCCACAGAGGCATACAGCTCTCAGCAAGGCTCTGGTACATGTACTGGGATCATCAGCACTCAGCTGATGATCTCAGAAACATTCAAAACTTGGCTGGGAAGGTTCCTGAGCAGCCTGATGTAACTGGACCTGCTTTGTGCTGATGTGGGACTACATGACCTCTGTGGGTCCCTCCCAACCTACATGACTACAACTGGACCACATTATATTCACTTTTATGGAGTTTCATCTCCAGTGGCATCCAGTGTTCATCTTTGAATGATCCCTTCCTCCCCTGATGGACACCAGCCTAAGGGAGGACCCAGAAAGTGATTAGAATGTTCCTTCTATGTGTGACTGAGGGTATTTCATGTCTTAGATGCTGACACCGTAACATGAGTGGAACAGACACAAATTTGATGATGTTGTTAATGTTAAAAAAAGAAAATCAAGATACTGCTTTTATTTTTATTGCATGTCTTATCTTCTATAACTAATTTGATAGTTGCACATCAGTTATCACCTCAAGCAGAAAGTCAGCCTTCACACCCAGCTAAAGGAAAACACAAATTAGCAGCACACGTGAGCGCTCACAAACCCTCCTGTACATACCCTTCTGCCAAGGATCTGGTTGATAGCTGCGCTTTCTTTCAGAGTACACTCTGCTACAACGTTTGCTCTCATTTCTTTCATGTACAACATGAAAGCATTCAGAGGTTTCTTAATATGAGGTCTTTTTGGCTCTTGTTCTTTTCTCTGTTCGTGCTGAGGCTTCCTAAAACGTGGTTGGGAAAGGGAAAGGAAAGGAAAAAAAGCATTAATTTGCCTTCAACCTAAAAAGATCCAATGGGAAATTAATAACTTGTGGTTACAATAGCACTTAAATAGTAAGAATGAGGGTTTCAGTGGTTATGTCCCATCCACTTTCATATCTTTTAGTTTAATACTCAGGGAGGATGTCAGGTTGACATTCTCTAGCAAGTAACATTTAATCTGTGAATCTGCTCCAAGCTTGTCTCAATTCTCTTTTTGAAAGGCTATCCATGATGCCCTAAGAGACCACTGCCACAGGCAGGAGAACAGCTTCTCATCCCCTTCTTTCCTAGGTCATTTGCCTTTGAGTACTAAGCGGTGAGACAGCTTTTTGCTAGTGAATTTTGCAGGTAAGAACTTTTCCAGCAGAAGTTCACGAGTTCACACTCAAGCAGCAGACACAACTGGACAGGTCCATGATTACAACTGAATCAAGATGGCTGTTGCCAACAGCTTAAAAGTGCTGGACTGGAATGAAAAATGTCTTCTCATTACCCTTACCAAAGCGTAGCCCACAGTCCCTGTTTTAGTCATAGAAGAGTTAAAATTCAAAGAGGTCATGAAAGGCACTTTTTTGAAGCATCCTTGACTCTTCTTCAGATCAAGTTAGTTCTCAAACATTTATTCATTAAGGGCTAGAGCAGAAAGGCAGACTCACACATGCATTAGCTCACTGTCGTTGTGCAGATGTTCTTGTTTTACTTGAGGTGTTACAATAGCTGGGTGAGGGATTCCAGTTGTGTGAGGGCCTGGAGGACCAGGAATCATGTGATGTGAAAACCTAAAGGAGAAAACAAAGCAAGGTCTGTAACCCCACTGAAGACAGGCATCAAACATATGACAGTAGCAGAACACTCCAAGAATACAAATGCCATGGAGCTTGCAATGAAGGCAACTCTTAGAGAGGACACGAAAAATATTTGGCTAAGATTTGTGCATTGTAGCCCAATTATTCAAGAAAAACAAACTAACAAATCAATCAGCATTTTGGTTGTAGAGAAGTTGTTTTATTACTTTTCAGGCAAATACTTTTGGCAATGCACACGAGAAATAGTTAATGTTTGTACTGTTGCATTGCCTAGAAATAAAAATACACACTTCTTAACCAAAAAATGTATTTCCACACCAAGATATAAACATCCTTGAAATATCCACCACCAGCCAATGCAAAGGAGAAAACTGCCATGCAGAAACAAATAAAATGAAAGAAGAGTCTTTTCAAGAAGTCCCTGATGGCTCTCTTTATTTTTCAAGGTACTTAAAAGATTTTAGCATCATTTCATCTGAATGAACCCACTATTCTTACCTCAAATGCTTAAAATAAACTTTGAAAATCCTACATCCTGTATGAAGGATGGGAGCAGGGAGAGATTTTTGTCCTAATTAAAGCTTTCTTTCATTTGTACAAGGAAAATGGAAAATAAAAATACCACTAAGTGAACCCACCCTACTAACCCAAGTCACTCTCAAGGACAGCTGAGACAGATCTTGAAGGTGCTGAGCACTGCAAACTCTGGCACAGCAGAAAACCTGCATGCTGTATTTTAAACTGGTGGAAAGAACTGTTAACATCAAAAGCAAGCTCATGCTCCAAAGTTTTGCTGAACGAGTGATAGCTAAGGAGTGGCATCCAGCCTCTCCTTTCACCATTCCCTAGTCCCTTTGTTGCCCTTTTCCTTCATGTGATCAAAATAAAGGAAACACAAAGCCCTGTAACCAAATCAAGTGATTTTATCACAGAGAAAGAATGGGTTTTCTTCCCAGTTACCCTGACAGGCACATGCTTATCATTCCGCTGTAAAGAAGTGAGGGGACAGTGATAACCCAAAAGAGCCCACACACAAAGAGGTAAGAGGACCTACCACTTATCAAGTGCCTGCCCTAAATCCCTGTGCAAGAGGATGGCTCTTCTACAGATCACAGAAAAAAATCCCCAAGAATTGTATATTGCAACCTCTTGTACACCAAGCACAGGATGCAGAAGCTGTCTTTAGAATGCGAAAGCAGAGCATAGGAGGTCTGGAGTGGGTCACGGCCAAGTCTCGATTAGCATTGCTCGCTTGCACTTAGACATAAAGACACAGTGCCTGAGTCACACACCAGTACAAATACTGTGCTGGCATCCCCTGCCATTAGTGGCTTTGGGCTATGAAATACCTACTTGTGGGCAAGTTTCCACACAGAGCATTACCTACGTGATTCAAGACTAATTACCAACAAATTTGAAATTGGACCTAGAGAACGCAGACTATAGTGACAATCCACCTGTTTGCATACTGGCATGAGCAAAACCCAAGGATGCTATGCACAACACTAGGTGTTGCATCTAGAAATGAACTGACTCATTTCAGATGAAACAGCTCAATCAATTTTTGACAAATCACTGGTGCTACTCATTGCAACACTTCAGAGACTGACAAGAAAATGCTGAATGAGACCAGTGTGGGATCCAGGCAAACTGCATATACACGCAAAAGTTAAATAAAAAATATATGCGTAAGGGTTTAGCTGACTGAAAAGCAAGCAAAGGCAGACCAAGATGCAAGCAGAAGAGCAACTTGCCCTCTAATGCCAGCAGTTACTCCCCAGTCAGTCATTCACCTCCTACACCTACCTGGACATGGAAGGGTCGACTGAGAGTGAGGATGGATAGGGTTGCCTGAATCCACTCGAGATGGGATATACAGGCTGACCTTGCCTGAGGTCACAGAAGAAAGGAACCCATCAATCATATGATATGGTATTCAATGGTTACTCTAGAGTTACAAGCTCTTGATGGGAACTCAGTACTAGTCACAAATAAATAGTAAGAGCTAACACTTCCAAGAGTTCTCCTAATGAAACTAATGAATACTTAAATGCTTTGAACTTTCTCCCTTGCTATTGAAAGATTCCCAATCTAAGTTTCCACTGGGAAGGAAAGCAAAACAACCAGCCTTCCTCCCCCAGGGCACACACACACATCCACACTCCTCTAACTCCATCCCTCTCTCACCTAGTTTTAAAAGCACTGGAATCAGATTTGTTAAACAAGCTCTTAGGAAAAAAGCATCTTGTTCCAAATAGTTCTACTGTAGATCAGAGTGAGAACACCAGATGGTGAATTATTAAGCAAAAAAGCCTTTTGAACAGTTTTACTAAGTCTTAGAAAACTTAGGACTCTCTGCATTAGCATATGCTATAGTGAGGTACAAATGGACAGCTTTTCTAAGTAGAAATTGATTCCATAAAAAAACCCCAACCCAACCATGTAAATGCCCACAGCGACACAAGTCTATCTTACTACTTAAAGATCAAACTTTGCAGTCCAGTAAGAGAAGCTTGTGTGAAGTTTTTTCCTCCTTTGCACTCTCACATATACAGAATATTTTGCCACCAGTCCATCATTTGAGGTCTTTAATTTTTATCATCATCACTACATTTTGATTATTTTCAGTCCACAATGGCTCAGTCATGACTACAATGAACACCCTGAAGTAGCATGTGATGGTAATGTGAGCAAATGCCAGTTCAGCCCAAACACCTCTACCAGCCAGAGGGACACCACACACATCAATCCTATTCAAGCAGCTGCTTATCAACTGGTCAATCAGCTCTCAGATGAGAAAAAATGGAACCTGGCCTTTGTAAGGTTCAGGACACAGGTTTCACTCTTGGAGCATATTACTAGAAATGAGCAGTGCTCAAAGGGAAGGGGAAATGAAATAAAAGAGTTGAAGGAAGTCTCAACAGTGCTACCTCACAGCAGGGAGCCATAGCTTAAGGGACAGCTGAGTATGTCCTGCTGTTGGTGAGTGCTGCTGAACACATCCCTGAGTCTTGTAAGGTTGGATCTTGTCTCTCCTCTTCTTTCTCTTTTCCCTCTTCCCTCCCCCCAGCTTCTGCATTGAGAAACCATTCAGAAGAAATGACCGAACACATCTGGAAAATGCATGCTAGCAACTGCCTGGTGGTGGAAGTGAGGAGTCAGCTAAGCAGCAAAACAGGGAAGAGGGGGGGAAAATGATTAAAAAATTAGATAGTCAGATAATTCCATTTGATATCTACTTATTATTTGTTCCAAAAAGGCATGTGGCCTTTCCTGAAAGAGATGCCAGCAATACATTTCACCATCTTCTGCTCTCTACTTTCTCTGCCTGTTGTCATCTGGATCATGTTTCCCTCCCATGGAGACATTAAAAAACAAAAAAATATGCATCCCTCATTGCGTGGGCACAGACTAGTCACAATACAGATTCTAAAGCACTGAAATTGTAGCTGAGTTGCCTCATTCCCTGCTCCAAGAGAACTGAAGGCAAGAACATGTCTGCCCCAAGCAGACATGAAGCACCCTGCCAAATCTATTCCTCCAAAAGGAAAATGACACCCTGAGTGGCAGCAAGAGATCATGAGAGTGCTAGTATTAGCAAGAGCAGCAAGATATCCCAGTGGCAGAGGCTTCTCCACATAGAAACTGTAAAAAGCAGCAGACTACAATAGTTTGTTCTCCATTTGGAGTTTCAAGATTCCCCCCTTTCAAAGCTCTTCCCTTCTCCTTAGTAATTGCAATTTTGTGTATTAAAATTTACATTTAATTACTTGAGAACAGTTTTCTCCTACCATTCCAAAAGCTAAGAGCCACAAATCTGAGCCATAAGAAACATACAGACTTCAAAGTGAAATCTACACACTTCAATTTCTGTACGTGTTCAAAGAACAGATTCATTTAATTTCAAAGATCGACATTTCTTCACCTTTTCAATTAAAATAAAGTAGCAATTTCTTACCAGAATGACATTATTATTGTTTTGTATTGCTGCCATTGATTCAACAATAGTGAATGGTGTGAAAATGCACCTGTCTGAAAAGAAGCTAAAAAAATCTTACCAGCCAAGAGGTGGTGTTATCTGTCCAACCCCCCCTGGAGACAAGGGATAGAAGGTAGGGAGATCAGGAGCTGGAGGATGCCTGGACATGCCTGTTGAAAAGCACAGAAGAATGAGTGAGTTTCCCCTCAAAATACTCCATGTATGACCTACAGTTCCCAGCTGATACTACAATGGCACTAGTGCTGTGGATAAGGAATAACCACCTTCTTGGTTAGTGTTAAAAGCAAAAGGCTCCATGGGCCACCTTTAAAACAATTTGCACACCATACTGCAATTCAAAGTGAGATAGTGTAAAAAAAACCAACAACACAGAAGGAGAAAATAAATGTATGGGTAAGGACCTGTGCAAGTTTAGATCTCCTGTGAAGTGCATTAGATGCTACTGTCCTCTCAATGGTCTCACCAAACCTGACAGGATCCTGAGGACCTCTTCTCTAACACGTCATGAAACAAGGGGAAAATAAAGCGTTGTCAAAGAGGCAGCACAGCAGAGCTATTAGATTAGGTAAATTGCTACTTTTACATTTTCATGGATTCCCTTATGGATTCACAGATTTTGGAAACTTGCTACCACAGAGGATCAGTGGTTAATTAAGAATCATTTTCAGGCCTGTAATGGTCACACTTGATATGATTCATTTGGCTTCCAATTGTCACTCCAGTTCCAACTAAGCTCTTCATCAAGTTCACTCCTGTAGGCTCCAAGGTCAATCTGTTTTGCAATGGTAGTATTTCATGGAAAAATAAGAGTCCCATCAGTAATGATCCATCAGCTCACATTCCCCAGAACACAAAGTCCTACAACTGCAAGAATCACCTCAAGATTAAAGCTAATCCTCATCCCAAAAGGGTCTGTGGTCTCCATTCTTCACCTAAACCTTGTGCCCCAGGAGACATGGAATTACAGTTGCAGAGGCCACAAAGACATTGGTTTATTTAAATGTGTTTGGGGAAGAGGGGGTGAAGCAGAAGGAATTGTTAAGTCTACTTCACATGTTAAATCAGCTGCTTTAAAAGGGTATTAAATATTTATGTGGTGACACTCCAAAGGTCCAAGAGTGAGCGTGTGCTACCTTGAGACTTAGTTTATAGACTGATGCTACTGATTTATTCCCCTCTCCAGTTTGTATTTAAATCTTCTGAATTTAATTACAAGATTTGAAGAAAATCTGTCAGGACCGCGTACAGGAAAGCATGGAAAAAAATACCAGTGGTGTCAATGTCTCAAAAAAACCTGAATTTTCAGACTTGGAACCACAACCTAAGTGAGGATCGAATTTCCAGCCAGTTGTCTTTTCAAAGGCGTAAAACAGCTGGTAGCTGACAGGAAAGGAAACACTTTACATATCCCAGGGCTTTTACATGAGGGGGAACACTCTTTCGGAATGGTTAAAAAAAAGAAAACCAAACAAGGTGTAAAAGAAGTGCAGCATCTCATCTCTCACATCTCTGACGATGGCTGATGCTCCTGGAACTGATGACATGACTTCTGCTCAAGGAGCTGGGCCACTCCTTCCCCAGAATCTGCAGTTCTGACCCAAGGAGACAGCACTGCTCTCTCTTAACTAATGCACAGTTGCTCTTGCTAATCCTAAACTTCTGGCCCCTTATGGAGGGCTACCAGCACTTAGCACCCTCAGGAGCACACAGAGCCACCACATGGCCGGTTCCCTCCAAAGCAAGTTCTCTTGAGAGGGTTAAGAAGAAAAATAAAAAATTAAAAGAAAAAGAATTAAATTTAAAAAAATAAAGAAGTGACTGCCTTTAGGAAGGCAGTGCTGTGTGTCCATCCCAAAGTGCCTTGGGTGCAAGAGGCAGCGCTGAGGGCAAGCTTCTGCGAACCCCCTTGTTGGAGGATTTTGGTGGGAGGAGGGCACCAGGGCTAGGGGCGCCAGGGCAGTGCCTCGTTCCAGACCCACAGTGGGAGGCGAGGACAGAAACAATGGTTGGAGGCGTTTGGCAGAGGACCTGAGGAAAAAAAAAATCCTCTCTTTGCAGCAACTGCATGGGCTACTTCACTGAGGCTGCTCCCACACGCCGGTGGCGCCGAAACAGGGAGTATGGACAGAAAGACCACACACATCAAGGAGACCATCACAGACAAAACCAATAGTCTCCAGCCTGCATTCTCCACATCATCCATCCCCATCTTGGCCAGACACTGAGCAAAGGGATCAAGAGCCTGTTCAGGAACACCAGAGGGCAATGAGTTTTGTGCCTCCTGGCAGAGCCCCTCAGCAGGCTTGCACTCAGGGATGGGGACGTGACTGGTGGGATGCCGGACAGGGGAGAGGGTAGAGAGGAAGCAGAAGAGAGGATGTGCAGCAGAAACAAAAAACCAACAAACCAGATATTGTTCAGTTGGGGTCTGCTATACAGGAATGCAAAAATAAACTGGGGTAAAGGCAAAAAAATGGGGCACAGAGGGGCAAACTCAGCACACAGTAAGCAAAAACCCCTTGAGCTCAGAAACTGCAGCAGCAGGTTGTGGCCCAGCTGTCACAGCACAGCCAGCTTCAGCAAGAGGTGGAAATCCCGTTCTCTTAACACATGGCACCCCTGGGATTTCAAGGAATGAGTGTGAATATCCTTCTCCTGGGCACTGATGCAAAGGAGGAAGACAAATGAGGACAGGAGGTCTCCGTTTGCTTCTTCCAAGTCTAAAAAAGACATTATATATATATATCTTTACAGGCCAGGCTTTCCAGTCAGAGTGCTTTTTGTATTCTCCCTCCCTAGAAAAAAACAAAACCTAACCAACAAACAGCAAAAACCACACAGAGCCACCAGGCCATAGCATTTTCTGGATGTAGCTCATGTTATTATCTCCATAGTGCAGCCAAAACAAAACCTAGGCATTCAGGGGAAGACAGAACAAAAAAAGTCTCTCTCCCTGAACAATGATGACTAAAAGCCTCTTCAGATAAATGGGATAACTGTGCATATGGATGTGTGCCCAGGTAAAGCAGAGCTTCAGGATTTTGTCTACTGTGTGTCACAGCACATGGTGTGACATGTGAGCACAGAGAGAGGCAGGGACAGGCACCCTCCAGGACTAGTCATGGCACTGACAGACTTGCTGCCCATGCAGAGATATCCAGACTACCATGATTTCCTTTGTAAAGCCTCTGCTCTCTCTCCTTCCCTCCTCACCACCAGCTCTCTTGTGCAGGCTTCTTCTGCTCAGGTTCTTACCCAAACTCCAGCTCAGACCTGCAACAGCCATGGACAGTCCTCCCCTTGCACCTCCCCACCATCCATCACATTCCTCCCCAGCTCTTGCAACCCATTGCAAGCAAGCACACCCTTCCCAGGAATCCCTTGTGTTCTCCTGAGTACTGGGCAGAGGCTCTTGGCACAGGCTGAGCTTGACATCTTGGAGAATGTCTGCTTTTTCCTGGGGGCCTGCAGGCTAACCCTGAGCAGAGCTGGTCTGACATTCCCAGATGTGGATCTAGGAGGCTTTTGTGTTTGCCTTAAGGGATCCTAGAGGTGCAGAGAAAACTGACTGCCATGACTTTGACATCTGAAAAGATGCTTTCTGCAGAAGGCAGCCAGCACAAGAAGATTAAAAAACATCATATTTGTAAAACTTTTACTTGCACAGGCTCAAAACTATTTTTATGGGCAGTGCTTTGATTATGCCAACTGACATACAAAAGAATATGGACAGCCAGAATACAAGGACATAAAATAAAGTGAAAGAAAAGGTTTCAATAACACCACTATTGAAGCACTCTTCCCCTGTTTTCAGGGAGATGAGGGATGGCTGCCCTTTCTGTATTTGCATGCTGCAAGCCTTGGGCACCACAGGAGATGGTGAAGACTGGCTGCTCTATTTGAAAGACTTTGATGAGAAAAGCAAACCAAAATTATTATTAGAAAGAGCATAAAAATTTAAGCAGCCAAGTTAAGTATCAGCATCACGGCAGAATTACCATCTCTGAAAACGGGCATGTGCACCTGGAAGCCTCCCTCTAAAAATATTACGAATTGGTAATATGGGCTCTGTCAGCAGCACAGAGGGCATCAGGACCACCCTGCATCCTCCCTGAGCTGGGCAAGGATGGGCTCACCTTGTTTGGAGCTGACGTCAGAGGGGACATGAGACGGGTGTGACCCCGGGGAAAAGTGCTCATCGCTGTAGGTGATAAGAGGGGTGAGGGGGTGAACCGCATGAGAAGGCTGTACCACGGGCACCTTGTTGGACTGCAAGAGAAGAACAAAAATTAAGTTTTGTTAGCGAGGTGAGGCTTCTGCTTTGAAAAAAAAACCAAAAAACCCCAACATTTCCAAAATGCTATTTTTAAATAGTTGCATTACTGAAGCGGGGGAAACAGATGGACAGACATGACACTGGGGCTAGTGGATGGAAACCAGGTTTGCTGCCAGAATTGGTATCCTCAAACCACTGGCACCCGAAGAGGGATGCAGATATTGAGGAAATGCAGGGAAATGGGTGGGTGCCGGGAGCAGGAAGAAAGGCATTTGGGAGACATTGAGACAGGGCTGCGGAAATGGCAAATGGAGCTGCAGGGCAGGAGGAGCAACGTGCTGGGCAGGCAGGCACTGTGCACCAAGGGCTTCGACCTGAGGACAGCAGTCAGCAGCAGTGCTGGAGAAACCCTTTGGAGAGCAGCATTTGGGAACAGCATTTAAAAAAAGAAGGTTTAAAGTACAGGTTTGCCGTATCTCCAGCCTTAAAGGCAACACAAGCTTCATCAATTTCCCTCTTCCTCCCCACTGCTCTTCCTGCACGGCTGTGGCACGGCACAGCTGGGACAAACCCCTGCCATCACCAGAGGAACAGCAAGTTTGCCCCTTGCAGTTTTACAAACTCTGGTTGAAAACTCTTGGTCTGTCTACCAGGTAACTAAAGGATCACCCTTAGAAGCCTGATTTCGTATATAAGCAGCTGGCAGTGGCCTCTCAAAGAGAGTCAGAGGGGAGACCTGCTGAGTGCATGAGGACAGCTGGGTGGTCCTCTGACCCTATCAAGGAAAACTCAGAGTGTTGCAAACACCCACAAGGGTCCTGAAATGGGTGCCATAAGGTGATGTCCTGCAGGACAAGAGGCACACTTCCCACCAGCACTTCCCAGAGTGCAGAGGCACAGGGGAGGAGGCGGGCAGCATGACAGAAGGATGCTGTCCAAAATTATCCCCTAAGCTCAAGGTTGCAAGACAACAAAACTCCTCAATCCAAATAAAATCCTGCATTATTAATGCTGCTTGAAACTCAAGTTGCTCTTTCCATGCTCTTTTTTCATGGTGGGATGAGCTGTAGTGATGATGCCAGCATGTAACAGGCACTCCTCATTTGTGCCCTGCCACTCTACCCTGCCCCTTAGAACAAATAATTGTGGAACAAACAGGTTTTTAATAAAACCCCACCAAAAAATAAAGCTCTCCTTCAGACAGACACACTGAGTGCACAGAGAGCCTGTCAAACATAAGGAATTAAGGAAAAAAATAATTTAAGAGGCCAATTAAATTAATTTTCATTCAGTTCACTATTGAAATCCTGGCACAAAGCAGATGTTAGCTCCATGCACAAGTCCATAGTTTTTCTGGACTTCTGGAAACAGACAGGTTATTAAATGGACAACTCAATTTACTGTTAAGAAGTAGAGGAAAGGGAGCAAACGGGAACCAGTGCAGCATTTTCTGCTTTCCTTGTTTCCAGAGCACCACCTTAAGGAACTTGCATTAGCAGGCAGTATCTTCTTAATGTCTGACCTATCCCTCCAGTCATATAGCTCAGAATCTGGTGCCATGAATTTTTGCTAAATTATGCTATCCTTGCTCTCCTCTTAATTTTACGGTTTTCAACACAGATTTGCTTTCCTGTGGGAAAGAGATAAGAACCTGAGGATTTTAATTTAAGCTTCGGCCTTGTCTTATATTTTGCAAGATGGAGAGAGAAAGCAGCGCTAGTAGGTGTTTTAAAGCCAACAAGCATTAGGTCCATTTTTATGACCAAATAATAAAAGTAATATGAATTCTCAATAATATCTATGAGTTGAGTTGTAAAGGGGATAGCTCAGACTGCTATTCATCTTCCCCACCCGTATAAATTCCACAAAAAACAGATGCCAACAAATTTCAGATGATTTACAAATTGGGCCTCAGTCTTTAGATATGAGACTCGTGGGCCAGCCCACTGTTCAGCCACTACTTTATCAACAATAAACTGTATATTATGAATAAAGATAAGCAATAGATGTATTTAGGTCACACACACACACAGCTGCTAATCAGCATTAATTTCTCAAAATTTAGTAATTAACATTTTGTATTGTACTGGATGTAATTGTCATGCACGCCCCTGGTATCAGGGTTCCTTGTTTTCAGAAATCACCCATTTATACTTAGAGCATGCCAATCCCTGTACCCCCTCGCTCTACAGCATCCTGCAGATTTTATTTTATTTTCTAATTCTCAGCACCTTATCCCCTAAGCCCATGGCAGCGGCTTTCAACGGGCGAAGGAACCGTGAGAAGTCAGGAGAAAAGCAAACCGCTTGTCAGCGGGCTTAAAATTAACATATAAACGGGCCATATCTCCATTAAGAGCATTTGGGGGTCTGCAGAGCTAGAAATTGGGATAAAAAAAAAAGTAACAATAAAAGATAGCAATAATGCAAAGCTTCCCAGCCTGCCCACCCCACACTGCTTTGGGAAGACCCGGGGATCTCTGGCTAAATCCTGCGGGTCGCCCCAACGTGACAACAGACGGGGGCTCGCTGGGCACAGGCTGAGCCTCCCTGTTCCCTCTGGTCCCACAGTGATCGCCACAGTGAGATGGCCACAGTGATCGACAGCAGGAGGACACAGAGGTTAATACATGCACGGTGAAACCAGGAGGAGAAAGGCCTGATGACACATTTTCCAAAAGTCCTATGGACTTGAAGTGGTTGTGCCATGGCTCCTGCCCCACAAGGCAACCCAGATGGATTATCTGGGCCTTCTTCACAGAAAGGGCTCAGGGCAGGAGACTAAGACCTCGTATGCAGACACCTGGATGCCCCTCTTGCCACCCTCTCAGCCCTCTCACCCCCAGCTTGGCCCAAGGCCCATCCAGTCCCATGGACACTGCCCTGCACCCTTTCCCTGGGGACATCTGGACTGGGGATGTTGCCAAAGCCTCTTCCACCAGCTACTGCTAACAGTGGGCATTACTGCCTTTGAGGGCTGTGAACCACGGCCAAATCCCACCTCACACTCAGGTACTAAACTGTGCTGATGAGACTGCTTCTACTGCTTCCCAGTCTTTACCCATTGGCTTCCTCCTCCCACAAACATGGCATCTCTACATTTGTCTCCCCAAATCCTCCAAAGACAATGCATACAGCTGCAGAAACACCTGAGAGACTGACAGAGACCCGAGCTTGGTCAACATGACCTCCATGCAGGGGGAACTCCATTCCCCATGGCCTGTGGAGCACCTGCTGACCAAGCCCACAACCAGCTCTCCCTGGCACACTGGTGACATTTATATCTAATACAAGCATGGTCCACAGAGTGCCTTTTCCCCTCAGCACAGCCTGAAAATCTGTAAAACCCCGTCAGTCAATGAGACAATTACATAATTACGCACTGTCCTATGTGAGGTTCTTTAGTATTTTAGTACAGAAATTATACTTCATCCACCCACCAAAACATAGCATTTTGGTGCAAGTAGGTACCCAAGCAGCTTCTAAAACCACCATTAAGTGAATGAGGATGAAATTTCCATTCTCATTTCCAAGTTGATCTGGAGAAGCTGAAGGTTTGTTGAACCTGTCCCTAGCACAGCTCTGATGTGGCATAAATGGTATATTACCACAACACACCAGTGAAGTTATATTCTCTGTGCCTAAGGTTCTTCACATGACCTGGAAAGTAAAGGAAATGGAACATACAGCACAGCTCAAGACAGGCAATTTGGAAAAAGTAAATTACTAAATTACTAAAAATGAGAACCTCCTGTTATGTTGTAGGACACCTTATCATGCATGTGTTGTTACCTGTTACAAACACTAAAGGCTGATGGCAAAAGGATAGCCTTTCCTGTTGGCCTGAGGACACACAGCTGTGCCCCACAGCACTCAAAGGGACACTCCTGAGTGACTCAACCTTGGTGGTCTCCTTCTCAGAGACCACACAGCCACCAGGGCTCCAGTCCCAGAGCACAGTCTTGCAGCACAGACCATGCCAGCAGCCTTTGGGAACTGGCCTCTGTGTGGCCCTCCCTGGGGCACTTTTTCTCTTCAGCTTGGCCTTCCCTGTTGGTATCTTTTATTTCTCCCAAGCATGGCAGTGCAGGCAGGGGACAGTCTCCTGAAGGACACCAACAGGACTGTCAGAGCATACGTGTACTGGAAAGAGCAGGAGCCAAATGATTTGGCCAGTTAGGGCTAAGATGAAACTGCTGTTCAGTTCTAAGACTGATCTGAAATAAAACCCAAAAATCCCCAGTACAATGTTGGTGGGCAAAGGGTAAGAGCTGGCAGGGAAGAGGGCCCTGGCCCAGCAGTTGGCATTATCCCAGCAGGAGCTTTGCTATGCACTGGACACCTGTTTAAAGCTATTGCTGTGTTAAAGTAACTCAGGAACAGGTCAGTACAACAGCAAACACTTCCCTTGCAAACAGCAATCACAGTCTGCAAGTGCTAAAGCTTGAACTTACTCAGGCATTTTGGCCAGGGCAAGGAGCAGAGTGAGAAATCCCCTGGCTGCAGCACTGGCACAGCTGCTGCCACATGGTTGGGTGACCCCTGCAAGTGCCCTGCACCGGCAGTACCGCACCTGCACTCTCAGAGCCACTCACCATTTCAGACATGTGCCTGCCCTCTCATCCGAGGAGCACACTGTGAGACAGTTCAGAGTAATCTCTGGTGAGTTCGTGGTTAAATGCTGTGGCACAATTTCAGTCTGAATCCAGTAAGTTTTCCCTCATTTTGAAATGCTTCTGAAGAAAAGCAAGAGTCCAGAGTAACAAACCTCAAGCCCTCCCCAAACAGCCAGCTAATGCTTCAGTGAAGGCCCAAACCTGTCAGGTATCTTATATGCAACAAGTGTGCAAAAACTATAAAAAGCCTGAGACAGCCATGGCAAAAATGCCTGTAGGTCAGCGCTGGGCGAGGCGGGCAGCTGGGAGCTCCTGCTGGAGCTGGGGCCACCATTTGTTCCAGCTGCTGCACAGAGAAAGATATTAAATTAATGACCC